GAGAAGGCTGAGAACATAAACCAAAGAAGCACCAGAATTTAGGGAGTGAGCAAAGAGAGTGGTAAATGTTAGGTATTTAATTTTTTAGTAGCTTTTCATTCAAGCACTTTTCATGAGTTTGTGGTTTATTGTCATTTGTATGATTATTTGATTAGAGGCCTTGTTGATTATGATTTTATCCCTAGCACCTAACACAGTTCCTGGCACAGAGGAGACACAAGAAATATTTATTGAATTAATTAACAAGTAAAATTAAAATACAAAGATAATTATGGATTGTGGCAAGTGCAATGAAGAAAAAGACAGCATGTTGTGTTAGAGAATAACTGAGATGAGGGCAGAATATATATAGGCATGCAGAGAAGACTTCTTTGAGGAGGTGACATGAGCTAAGAGAGGAAAGTAGAGAAGGTACCATCTGTAAGGAGAGCTGAGGGAAGAGCACTTCAGGCAGAAGGATGGCATGTTCAAAGGTCCTGTGGCAGGTGAAGTTTTGGCACATCATGGGAAGTCCATGAGTGATCTTGATCAGGAAAATAATATAATAAGTAGAAACAAAGAGAACAGTTAGGAGGCTGTTACAGAGGGAAGATGATTGTGGCTTATACCTAGTCAGTGTGTTTGATAGGCATTTTAGAAGTAGAAGACATGGCATGGTGAATGATCACATGTAGGTTAAGAGAAAAATATGTAAATCAAAGTTGACTTGACCAGTTGTGTGAGTGGTGGTTCCATTTATTGGAAGAGAAAAACTAGGGAAGAAATTATTGACTGATGTAAGAACATGAAGATATTCCATGTTTTCTTTTAAAAGCTTCATTGATTTATCATTCACATTTATATCTACCATCCATATAGAATATGGTAGATCTAAATGTTTGTGATTGATATGAAGTTGGAGTCAAGATTCAATTTTTTCCTATGTTAACATCCAATATTTTCAAAAGACCATCATTTACCATTGCTGTACAATGCCATCTTTGTCATAAACCAAGTAACCATATATATATATTTGAGCTTATTTCTTGAGCTTCTATTTTGTTCCATTGGTATATTTGTCATATTCCAATCCATCTTCATTACTGTATTTATGGGAAAAGTTTAATAACCAGTAATGTAAATCTTCCAGTTTTCTTATTCTTCTTACAAAGTTTTCTTGGCTTTTACCATTTTTACACAAATGCATTAAAATAAAATAAGACAAAAAATAATATTGTTATTGATTGAATTGTGTCCCCCTTTAAAAAAGTTATATTGAAAATTTAACTCCCAGTGTCTTATTATGTAACCTCATTTGGAAACAATGTTTGTACAGATGAGGTCAAGTTAAGATAAGACCATACTGGGGTAGGGTGGATTTTACTCCCAATATGACTTGGTGTCCTTGTAAGAAGAGGGAAAGTCACAGAAACAGAGAGAAGACCATGTGACAACAGAGGCAGAGATAGGAGTGATGTAACTCCAAGCCAAGGAACTCCAAACACTGATGACGAGAAGCAATGAAGAGGCAAGAAAGGATTCTTTGCTATAGGTTCCAGAAGGAGCACGACCCTGCTGACACCTTAATTTCCAACATCTGTTCCCCAGAACTGTGAGACAACAAATTTCTGTTGTTTTAAACCACCCATTTTGTGGGATTTTGTTACAGTAGCCCTAGGAAACTAATATAAAGGTGCTATGACAAAAAAAAACACTTTATCCAATAAATTTGAACTCTTACATGAAATAGACAAATTCCCAGCACAATACAATTTACAAAATTAACACAGAAACATTTGGGGACTCCTGGCCAAGATGGCAGCATAGGCAGACATGGCTGGCCTCTTCGCACAACCACATCAAAGTTACAGCTAAACTATAGAACAACCATCATTCAGAACCATCAGAAATTCAGTAGAATGGAAGTCTGACAGCTACAGAATTAAAGAAACCACATCCATCCAGACTGGTATGAAAGGTGCAGACACAGAAAGGTACAGACTAGCCTCTCACCCACGTGTGGTGGATAAAAATTTAGGGGGGTTATCTCAGGAGTGAGGAGTCCCAGCTCCACACCAGGGTCCCTGTCCCAGGGTCCCAGTGCCAGGAAAGAAGTCCCTACAACTTCTGGCTGCAAAAACTAGTGGGGACTGAGTTGGTGGAAGAAAATTCTGGAGCCCCAAGCAGTTCCTCTTAAAGAACCCACATGTGGACTGACTTACTCATACTACCTCTGAGCTCCAGCACGCAGTTTGAACGTGAGCAGCTTGAATGGCATCAGTGGCATAAAGGGAGGAACTAAAGTATCTGTCATCAAGGTGAGCAGAGGCCATTGTCCCTTTGCTAAACCCTCACCCCACAGAGCCAGCAAGCTGGTACAGTATCTGGGACTCCATTAGCCTGGCTAACACTGTTTGACCCGCCTTGGAGATCCCCAGAGAATCCACCCCACCCAACACACTAGCCCACCCAAGCTGCTTTTCCTTATGAATGGCTGGTCTTGGCTTATGCTGCACAACTTCCTAAATCCTATCAAACAAGTGGCAGCTGCCTCAGTGAACCTGAGGCCTGGCTCTAGCAGCAGCCAACCTACATTTATAGCTTGGCTTCCCCTGGGACTCTCCGAGCCCAGCACAAGTAGCGGCTATCTCAAATTGCTTTATAGCTCAGGCAAGGTGGCCCCACACAAAACACAGGTAGGGACTGAGCTTGGCCTGCACACCCAGGAAACCTCAGGGCCAGTGCACCCAGTGGACAGATACAGACCAAATCAGAGCACTACCACGCTGCCCCTGCACAGCTGATTGTCCACAAAGGGTGGTGATTGGTGGTCAGTGGTCACAGCCAAATCCTTGCAGCTGACTGGCCTGGATAAATCCCTCCCATTGACCTGCCAACAGCAACCAAGGCTCAACTACAAGAGGAGGGTGTACTCAGCCCATACAAAGGACACATCTTGAGTACCCAGCATGGGTGATAGGGGAGGCTGTACCATTGGACCCTACAGGACACCTACTGCATTAGGCTTCGCTAGCAAGATACAGAGTCAAAGCAGCTCTACCTAATACATAGGAACAAACATAGGGAGGCTGCCAAAATGAGGAGACAAAGAAACATGGCTCAAATGAAAGAACACATCAAAACTCCAGAAAAAGAGCTAAATGAAATGGACATAAGCAATCTATCAGATGCAGAGTTCAAAACACTGGTTATAAGGATGCTCAAGAACTTAGCAAGGACCTCAACAGCATGAAAAAGATCCAGTCAGAAATGAAGGATACACTAATTGAAATAAAGAAAAATTTACAGGGCAACAGCAGTAGAATGAATGAAGCCAAGAATCAAATCAATGACTTGGAACATAAGGAAACAAAAAACAAGCAATCAAACAGCACAAAAAAGAAAAAGAAAAAATGAGGACAGTATAACAGCCTCTGGGAAAACTTCAAGAAGCTCATTCAAGAAGTTGAACATTCACATCAGAGGGGTGCCAGAAGGAGAAGAGAAAGAGCAAGAAATTGGAAATCTATTTGAAAAAAACATGACAGAAAACTTCCTTAATTTGGTGAAGGAAATAGACATGCAAGCCCAGGAAGCACAGAGAGTCCCAAGCAAGATGGATTCAAAGAGGCCCCCTCCAAGACACATCATAATTAAAATGTCAAAGGTTAAAGATAAAGAGAGAATCGTAAAAGCAGTAAGAGAAAAGCAGTTAGTTACCTACAGGGACGTTCCCATAAGACTGTCAGCTGATTTCTCAAAAGAAACTTTTCAGGCTAGAAGGGATTGGCAAGAAACATTCAAAGTCATGAAAAGCAGGGACCTACAGCCAAGATTGTCCTACCCAGCAAAGTTATCATTTAGAATTGAAGGGCAGATAAAGAGCTTCCCAGACAAGAAAAAACTAAAGAAGTTCATCATCATCAAACCATTATTATTTAAAATGTTAAAGAGACTTATTTAGGAAAAAGAAAATCAAAACTATGCACAATAAACTGGCAAAAAAATAATATCTATCAACAATTTAGTCTAAAAAAGAAATTAAGCAGACAAGAAGAACAGAGACAGTGAAAGTTTTGATGGTTACCAGACAGGAGTAGGGTTTGGGGGAATGGGTGAAGAGGTGAGGAGATTAAGAAGTACAAATAGGTAGTTACAAAATAGCCATGGGGACATAAAGTACAGTGTAGGCCAAAGAACTTATATGCATGACCCATGGACATGAACAATGGTGGGGGGACTGCCTGAGGGAGTGCCTAGGTGGAGGAGACAAAGGGGGAAAAATCAGGACAACTGTAATAGCATAATCAATAAAATATAATTTTAAAATTTTTTGGAAAAATCCTGTCTATTAAATAAATCAGATCTGTACTTATAAAAAAATTATCCATGAAAAAACTACAGACCCAGATGACTTCATCACTGAAATTTATCAAACTGTAAGAGATTCATTTTATTTATTTATTTATTTATTAGTATAAAAATGGATAAGTTTATTCAAAGTGTTGAGTATTTAGGTCACAGGTTCGTTGTATCAGTCTTAACTGGTGCTCCTGCAAAGAAAGCTTTCTTGCCCTTTGTGAATTGCTTCCATAACTTCTCTTCATCAGCATAAAACAACCCAAAACCTGCTCTAGACCAAAGTGCTTGGGAGAAAATAAAAGCCAACCAACACAGAGAGGATGAACAAAAACCAGCTGTGCCCCCAAAATACTCGGAAGTCATATGCTATTTACAACGAACAATGGTTTGGTTTATTTGGGGATGGAAGTGGGCAATATGATCCAGCCTTTTCCAATGAGAGGCAATAGTCTTAGTCCTTTCCCACTTTACTCTTGCTTTACCACATGGTACCTTTCACTCCCAAAGCTTCCACCAAGTCCTGATTCAGCTTCAGCACGTGCCCCTCAACTTCAATTCAATTAAACACTGTTATTCATAGGAGTAAAGACAAAGACCAAGATGGGGGTTAGGGTGGGGGTTTTCTTGGCAGATCCCCAAAGTTGAGACATGAGGCCTCCTCAGATGAGGAAGATGATGCCCTCAGACACCATGACCTGGTTGTCATCCTGCATCTTGCTCAGTGCTGCCTGGATCTCCTCTGAAGAGAATGGCTCTTCTTTGTCCCGGTTGATGGATTCTGTGAGACGATTCATGCCCACCAACTGGGCATGAGCTTCCCAGAACACTTCCAAGAGGGCCACCTTGAATACCTTCAACCTGGATTCACTCAACTCCACCTGCTGGAATTCCTTGGTCTCCTGTGAGTCCGCTGACTTTGGAGTTTGCACTTGAAGCATTTCCTTCTCTGTGTCACTGAAGTCATAGGGGTCATATGAGTCCCCATTCCTGGCATCTGAGTGATGACGAGTCTTCCTTCTCTTCCTCTTCTGTTCTGGGTCTTCTTGGCTTTTGTCTTCTTCATCTTCTGTCTCTGATTCATCCTCATTTTGCTTCTTACGTTTCTTCTCCTTCTCCAGAACCTTTTTGAAGTAAGCGTACTGGACCAACTCCACAGCGTCCTCTGCATCCTGCAGGTCCACAGTCTTGCTCATGCGAGCCTTGGCGTGGGTTATGGCCAATCGAATCAGGGTTTCCAGTGTCCGGGCTGTAACTGGAGATGTCCTGGCTGTGTCAGAGCACATGCTGTCCTGGCTGCGCAGGCGGGAGTACTCCTCTGCAATGTAGGCAGCCGACTCCTGTGTTAGGATGGGCTTGATGATTTTGGCCATGTGGATGTACTTCTTCATGAAAGCTGCATTCACCATCTCCTTTTTCTTTCTGTTCCCATGCAGAAGATTGTCATGCTTCTCATAAATCTGGGTGTCCTGCTGGTCTTCCTAGTTAATGTTGGGATCATCTGTTGTCAGGATATCCATGGCACTACCCAAAGGCATAGCATCGCCATCCTGCTCCCCCGGTGCCCTGTAACGGTGCATCCTAAGGACATGGTTCGAGACCTCCCGATCCTGCTTAGGGTCCATCTGATCCAGCATGATGAAGAGTAAGTCAAATCGGGATAGCAGAGAGTCCTGCAGCCCAATGTTCTCCATAGGGGTCTTGTACTAATCATACCTGCCATAGATGGGGTTGGCTGCTGCCAGCACACTACAGCGGGCATTCAGTTGCGCATAGATGCCAGCCTTGGTGGTGGTCACTCGACCCTGCTCTATCACTTCATGGATGGCGGTACGATCCATGTCAGACATCTTGTCAAACTCATTGATGCAAACCATGCCTCGATCAGCTAGGACCATGGCCCCCGCTTCCAGACGGCGTTCCCCTGTTTCCTGGTCTGTGGTGACAGCAGCCGTCAGACCCACTCCAGAGGAGCCCCAGCCAGTGGTAGGGATAGTCGGGGGGTGGTGCAGAGCACATACCACAGAAGCTGAGATTTGGGAACTGAAGGGTCTCCTATTAGAAGAATATTGATGTCCCCACGGATGTGGCTGCCATTTTCTAGGTCTCATTCCACCCCTCCCAAGAGCAAGCAGAGGATTGCCTTTTTGACATAGTCATGCCCATAGATACGGGGGGCCAACGACCTGGCCAAGTGGTCAAAGATATCCTTGGAATGGGTTTTACTGAACTTCTTGATCTTGGCTATATCCTCAGCAGAGAATGAAGGCTGAATGTCCTTGCTCATCTGTTTCACATTACAGGCGATCAGAATCGTCCTGAAGGTCCCAGAGGTGTAGCCTCCCTTCTTTCCAGGAAGGCAACGGTAGGTCCCCAGCACCTGGACTCGGTCACCAGGCTTCACTTTATCTACCAAGTCATCATCCAGAATGACATCCACTGAACGTGGAAGCTGGTAGCTGGGGCCTTCTCTGGCATTTCCTGGATGGTGATGGTCTGGTGGTCCTTGTAGACAGAAAGGCCATATTCTGTCTCAAGGGGATTGTTTTCCTCATCCTCAGTGGGATAGACGGAGGTGGAGGGAAAGGCCACCAGGGTGGTGAGATCAGAATAACGTCGCTCTATGGTCTTAGTAGCAGGACAGTAGTGGACACTGCGGACAACTTTGGGACGAACTAGAGAGCACTTAGTGACAATGCCCTCCACACAGACTACACAGCTGAGGAAGCAGGAGGTCAGAGTCCGGGGAGAGATGTGCTTGGAGCCAAAGCTGCCCTCCAGTCCTATGTAGAACTCCTACTGCTTGGCATAGGTGGCATCAATGGAGGCCACAAAATCCTTTAAGGCCCTTTGGAAAGCAACTAGCTCCTCAAAGGCATTGTTCAGGAGGCGATTAGCCCTCTTCTCATTTTTCCTGCGCAAGTCATTCACGTTAACAATCAGCCGGTATTGGTTGTCACTGATTAGCTCCCGAACTTTGCTCTGATAAATTCCCTGGTCTTCCTCGTCGTCCAAGAAGTCCAGGTAATCTCTCTGCATCTCCCGCAGCTCCATATTGTCCAGTACCACTGTCCCCACCATGCTCGTCAACTCCGAGATACCTCCTCCAGAGCAGCGCGGATCTTCTCGAGATTCATTTTAAATCCTCAGTAATATGGAGAAATATTCAAGGCTAGAGTTACAATATTCCAGGCAAAAATGATGAGAACTTCCATTGCTTCAGTGAAAGTGGGGGTGGTAAAGAAAAGATAGATAGAAGAGATAATACAGAGAAAAGGCAGAATCAAAAGAGTTGTGGATGTTCTAAACATGAGAGAAAGATGACAGAATGACACTCTGGTCAATGGCTGGACATCTGAGTCAATAATTGTGACATTCCTTAAAACTGAAAACAGGGAAGGTCTGATAGCTCAGAGGAAATGGTTGATAGGGAACTGAAATTTGACATGAGTATTGATCTCCAAGGTGGGATATTAAATATATACTGGACATGTATTCCTGGAGTACAGTGTGGGTTGGGGGGTACAAGTTTAGCAATTAGGAGCCCACTGAGTAATAGTTGAAACTATGAGAGTACATGAGCTTTCCCCAGGAAGGAGGGTGAAGTCAGAAGACAAGAGGGCCGAGGAGAGACCCTGAGGAATGTAACACCTAATGGTTATCCGTCATGAATCTACTGCAATCTAAAAACAAAGACAGAATAACCCCCACTATCCAACTATATTAAATGATAGAGAAAAAATTTTATTCCATATATCAAGTAACCTCAGGGTAGGGTAGCTGCAGCCTTGGTGGATAGGTCAGAATAATCCTGTATTATTTTTCCAGGGCTGCTATAATAATGTCACACTCACTAGATGGCTTAAAACAATAGAAATGTATTGCCTTAGAGTTCTGAAGGGTAGAAGTCCAAAATAAAGTTGTCAGCAGGGCCGTGCTCCCTCTAAAACCTGTAAGAGAGACTCCAATGCCTGTCTCCATCACCACATGGTCATCTTCTTTCTGTGTGCTTCTTCTTATAAGAACAACAGTGATATTACATTTAGGGCTCATCCTACTCCCTTATGACCTTATGTTAACTAATTACATCTGCAATGACACATTCTGAGGTACTTGGGGTAAGAACTTCAATATATCTTTTTAGGGGACACAGTTCAGCCCATACAGACCCTTTCCACCTTTTTTGGCTCTGCCCTTCCCAGCCTGCTGTCTTGCCTTCGTGCTGCTCTCTCCACGGTCAGGTTGGCTACAACAGTCCCAGGCATCACGTACAGCACAACAGTGTCTGTCAGATGAAGAGGGATCATCTCTCCCAAGACCCCCTTGGCCAGCTGACTTCCTCTCGTTTCTCATTAATAAACATTTCATCACATATGCATGCCTAATTCAATCACTGAGAAGGGGAAAAGACCACTCGTCAAAATTGGCTTGGACCAGTGGTTCTCAAATTTGCACATGCATTAGGATCAGCTGGAGGGCTTGTTAAAGCACAGGTTCCCGGGTTCCACGCCTGGAGCTTTCAGTTCCGGAGGCCTGGAGTGATGTCTGAGACTTTGATGAGTTCCCAGGTGAGGGTGATGCTGTGGTCCTGGGATCATGTTTTGAGAAGTGTGGTTTAGACTGATCTCAGAGGACTGGACTCAACTCCAGGGAAATGCATTGCCACACAGAGGAGGGAGGATAGATACCTAAACATAATCTGGTTCTTATGAGAAAGGAGCAAGGGAAGAAAACTGTTGGGTCTGCTCCAGAGTGTCCAAAGAACAGCCTGGAGGAGACTGAGAAGGAGTGCATCCAGACAGGAAAGAAGAAAATCAGAATTGAGTGATGTCAAGGGAGTCATGGAGAAGAGATTCAGGGAGAGGGTGGTCAACACTGTTAATGTCACTGAGAGAGCCAGGAATGTGAGCACTGAAATGTGACCACTGGGCTGGACAACTAGGAGGTCTTCATTGGTCTAAGCAAGAGAAGTTTTATTTTGAAAACAAGATATGGAAACAGTTATACAAAATACAAAGTTATACATATATCATTGTCTGCTACTGATGCCAAATGCTAGAGCTAATTCCTGGTTTTCCTGGAATCCAGATACTTAGGTGAGTGATAACAGGAAACATAGGTCTTGATTTACTGCTAAGCAGTGAAATAAATTTACTGAGGCAGAACTTGGTTTTCTAAGTTCAAGTTCAGACATAGCCACATCCTGAGTCCTAAGGTTGTGGCTGTAGGGGAAAGACTTGCACATTCTCATCTATTTGCTGATCCACATATGTCTCCACATATGTTCAGATGTCTGCTTACCAATCAATTCCCACCTACTTTTGTCTACCTATGCACACTTACTGTCTAGTTTCACTCGTCTACATAGTTAGGTCCAGGTTCTGCCACTTGCTACTGAAATACTTCTCTTGGCCTCCATTTCACACCTGTGAAACAAAGGTAAAATTGTGCTTTTCATAGAATGCTTGTGAGAATTCAGAGATCATGTCCATAAATGAAAGTGTGTATGTATGTAAGATAGTTATTTTTTAAATTTTATTTTTTTAATTTATTGTTTTAATTGTTCAAGTACTGTTGTCTCCATTTTCCCGCCACCACCCTCCTCTGCCCCACCCATCCCCACCTGCCACCCTCAATCTTTCCCAATTTCGGCTTTGTCCATGCATCCTTTATACATGTTTCTTGATTTGACCCTCCCCCTTCTTTTCCCCATTACCCCACTCCGTCCTCACCTCTTGTTACTGTCAGTTTGTTTTTTCTTTCAGTGTTGCTGGTTATATTTTTCTTGCTTGTTTCTTTTGTTGATTAGGTTCCACTTATAAGTGAGATCATACAGTTTTTGTCTTTCACCCCGTGGCTTATTTTGCTTAGCATAATGCTCTCCAGTTCCATCTATGGTGTTGCGAAGGGAAAGAGTTCCTTCCTTCTGGTGCATAGTATTCCACTGTGTAAATGTACCATAGTTTTTTGATCCGCTCATTTATCGATGGGCACTTAGGCTGTTTCCAGCACTAGGCTATTGTAAATTGTGCTGCTATGAACATTGGGGTGCATAGGTTCTTTTAATTGGTGTTTCGGGATTCTTAGGGTATAATCCCAGCAGCGGAAATGCTGGGTTAAAAGGCAGTTCCATTTTTATCTTTTTGAGGAAATTCCAAACTGTTTTGCACAGTGGCTGCACCAGTCTGCATTCCCACCAACAGTGCACTAGGGTTCCCTTTTCTCCACAACCTCGCCAGCACATGTTGTTTGCTGATCTGTTTATGATGGCCATTCTGACTGGTGTGAAGTGGTATCTCATTGTGGTTTTAATTGGCATTTCTCTGATGGCTAGTGATGCTGAGCATCCTTTCATATGTCTCTGGGCCCTGTGTATGTCCTCCTTGGAGAAGTGTCTGTTCAGGTCCCTTGCCTATTTTTTAATTGGATTGTTTGTCTTCCTGGAGTCGAGTCATGTGAGTTCTTTATATATTTTGGAGATCAAACCCTTGTCCGAGGTATCATTGGCAAATATATTTTCCAGATAATTGTTATTATGATGACACATGCATTACTCTCTCTACTCATAACATCATCAGCTAACTAGCAATTGATTCCCAACTGTGTCAGAGGAGTACAATTTTGAAAGTATATTTATCCTGTATGATTCCAACTATATGATATTCTGGGAAAGGTACAACTATGGAGATGGTAAAAAGTCAGTGGTTGCCAGGGGTTGTTTGGGGTGGAGGGGACAGATAAATAGGTGGAACACAGAGAATTTTTAGGGCAGTGAAACTATTCTGGAGGACATGATAGTGGTGGCTACATGTCATCATACATTTGTCCAAACCCATTGAATGTGCAACACGAAGAGTGAATCCTAATTCAAACTAGGAACCCTGGGTAATTATGATGTGCCAATGTAGGTCCATTGATTGTAACAAATGTACACTCTGGTGGAGGATGTTGATAATGGGGGAGGCTACGTGTGTGGGGGGGATAGGGAATATATGGGAAATCTCTTTACCTTCCACTTAATTTTTCTATGAATCTGAAAGTGCTCTAAAATAGTAAAGTTTCTTTTAAAAAAGTATATTTATAGCTATCAATTTATACCCACCTACATATGCTATATCTATAGATACACATAGGTTTGCTCCTAGCATTTGCATGTAAATACATACACATCTATTCTACCTGTCTAGTGTCTTTTTACAGCTACCTACATAAATAACATGTAGGCACAGAATTTCTATCCACAACACTGATGTATACAATTCTTTCTCCTTACATAAATGAGAAGTGTGCTATTCCCAGTCCTCTGAGAATCAGGTGCCAGTATGGGATTAAATGCAAGGATTTTATTAGGGGAAATGTCTTTGAGAGAGAGTTGGAGAGGGAGCAAGCACAGACTGGGAGAGCTATCAGACTCTTCTATAAGTGTGATTCCAGTGAAGAAGGGAGGGAGGAAAGGTTGGGCGGAATCTTCCTAGATTGCCACGCAGTGTAAGAAAGGTTTGGCAAGGCTGCTGGCAAGAGGGGTCCTCCAGCCAGTCAGCCATCAGAAGTGTCCCTGTCTCCCTGGAGTGGGCCTCTGTCAGCATCCCTGCCACACTCAGTCATTGGCTACTAACAGCCCACAGAAGGCGTGGCCTCAGCACAAATGCTGGCGTGGGATGCCATGGTTTCCAGGGCAGCGGTTGGCACCCTCTATCAATTACACTCAGGGGTGGTGCCTTCTCATGGCCACCAAATGAGGTGCTATCCATTCTTTGCATTTGAACCAAACTCTCCAGATTAAAAACAAACAAATGACCCCCCCACCCCCCCACCCAAGAAATCAGCTCAAACTTGGGGATATCACCAAGGGACAGAATTGCCTTTGCGATCCTCCTTGTTACACCATGGCTGTTTTAGGCAGAGCCTCTACTCAGAGAGGCCCTGAGGCTAGTGCCTCAGGAAGCCAGGGTGATGGCTGATTATGAACTTGGCTTGTGCTCTGCTCCAGGCACACCTAGGGGAGCTCTGGCTAAGCTTGTTGCTGCTGCTTCCCAGCTACTTTAAAAGAGGACTTCTCTACTCAAGGATGGGAGAAGCCA